TTGCCAGGGTCACCTTCTCTACTGTGACCCTGATATTCTCAACATGGCAGCAAAAGTATAATTTGGATATAAATTCCAAACATGCTATCTTATTTTGGAGAGGTTAGAGCTGGGGTATAATTTGGGGGAATGGCGATTTTGTCTCACCAGTGGGGTAATACCCAGGAAGTGGGTAGGACCAAGACAGATCCATTAAGTATCCTTTCCTCCCTCCACTACACTCTACCAATCAAAACAGTTATCGGTTGAAAATCACTAGGACATCAGTGTTCTAAAACAAAGCCTCTTTTCGCATTTGATTGAGGCACTGAGGTTTGCTGGGTGCCTGGCCCTGTGGCCCGCAGGGGGCGCCCGCAGTTACTGGAGCACAGTCCCGATCCCCTAAGCTACTGGGGGAAGGTGAGTCCAGATGGAGGGCATCGAGGGCAGGAGTTTAGCTCCCCACCTGGCACTGAGCGCTGGAAGCTTGAAGATAAAGATGCAGCCTGGGATTTGAGTCGCTCTGCTGCTACAACACAACCTTGCTGTTGTTGGCACAGATCGTCCCAAGTGTCGGGTACAAAACAGCTATGGTAGGATTGGGTTTCTACTGACCCTGATTGCCCTCTGACTTGGGGCTGCGCCCGCTGGTGGGAGAGCCAACCGCCCTAGGAACAGGCCGCAGGGTTTATTGTCTCTGGCATCCGTGCTCAATGCCCCGACACCAGGTCACCACACAACGACCAGCAAGTCTCCTCCACTCTAGTCAAACTATCTGCTGTGATCTTCACCACATGCACACTTAGCTCCATGTGTGGCCTCCTCTCCTCCCTGGAGTTTGTGTTCCCCAGTGGGGACCGCAAGGGAGGACTATTATCACAAGGCCTCCAGGACTCAGACATGGACTGGGAGAAAGGTGCAGGCAAAGCCATCTGGTGATTGGACTCCAAGAGCCAGACCTGTTAGGCTGGTGTGTTGGGGGTCCCAAACCAACTCCCCGGGAGCAAGGTGATCATTGGGCCCGAGTTGGAGAGGGGACTCTGCCTCTGCCTGACAACTGGCTGCCCCCCAGGCCATGCTGGAGGGAGTCTATAAGAAAGCTTCGGAAGAGGCCCTCCTCCCCGGCAGCCAGCCCCCGTCGCCCCCAGGCTTCGAGGCTGACTCGGTCCGCCGCGCCCCACGGGCCCTTTGTTCGCGCCACAGCCGGCTGGGAGCAGCTGCACTGCCGGAGACCTGCGGCGCTGAGACGCCCGCCCGGCGTGGGTGGCACCTTCTCCTACTCTTGGGCCCAGGAACCCTTCTGCTCCTGCATTCCGCACGCCCAGTCCTGGCTCTTCTCCCGGCCCAGAGTCCTCGAGGATTCGGGAAGTGGGGTTCCCAGGGCCCAGCAATGCACTCCTTCTGCTTGGCTCCCTTGGTCCAGGGAAATGAGGGGACAGTTGAAGTGTCACCCGCTGGGATAAATATTAACAAAAAGCAAATGGACTTGTGCGGGGGCCAGTTATCAATCAACCAGACCGCAAGGCCACTTACGGCAAACATGGCCCAGGTTGGCCGAGGGGAAACTTTTCTCATGGCCACCTTCTGGCCAGACTGCCACCCCCTCACCCCCAGCCCTGCCCTTCGGCAAGTGCCAGCCTGGAAATAGGAGCAGTCCTGGGTGCTGCAGACCCGTGTGGCTCCCGGGCGCTGCAGTTTGGAGGTTTCTTCGCCTCCAGGTGCCTCAGGGCGGGAGTTGGGCACCAGATTCCCGGCCATGCCCGCTGGTGGGTGTGCACTTGCAGCCACTTATTGCACTGGCAGCTCCCCTAATGTGGCCAGAGTCTTCTGGAATCTTTAATTGGAAACTAATCTCCTCCCGTCTTAATAGGCGACCACGTCAGAGGTGGGCGCCCACCCACCCGCACAGCCCAGCCCGCTCTCCCCACCTGGGAGGGGACGCAACGTGAGCCTAGTTGCTCTGCACTTCAATGGGGCAGCAGCAAGTACTGCATTGAGGGAACATATATTGATTTTTTTAAAGGTAGTTAATTTGGTGAAAATTTCCTCCTGTCTCCTGTCTTCCACCAGCCGATGTAATTTGGTGAAGAGAAAGCGTCTCTCCAAACAGGCTGCCAACTGCCCGGAACCTGGGGTACCAGGAGGGGCACGAAGAAGCTACTCTTCCGCCACCCAGCCAAGGAACCGACCTCGATGGACCTTGCCTGGAATGGGGTATAAACGAGTGTGAGGGGGGTCTTTGAATGCAAAGGCGAGCAGAGCTGCAAGTGGCACCTTCCTCTGTGCATCGGACGGAGTTGGCAGCGGGGAGGGGGCGGCGATGTCCCACCGCTGGGGCCAACATGCCCTGCAATCTGTTTGAAGTCACCTGCAGTTAGGACCTACAAGAGGTCATTTGAACGGCCCAGGAATCTACCCCCCCCCCTTTTTTTTTTCTGTAAAAGAAAATGTTAACAGGACGGCTCGCTGCTAGTCGGTGTCTTAAAAACAAGTCGTGGTTCTTACTGCATAATGGGATTGATCCCGGCTGGCTCCGCAAGCACGCTCGTCCCAGCCAGCCCCACCCCTTTAATGAAGTTAAAGAAAGGAAAATGGAAGAGACGACTCTCCATCCGGGTCTTAGGATGCAGAGTTCGCTGGGGGTTTGGCGCCAAACGCCTGTTCCGCCACAGTCTCCGATTTTCCTTCCCCACCCCCACCTCACCAAGGGAAAGGCCACGCGCCTCGGCGCAGGGACTGAGCACGACTCTCTACCGGCTGCCAGGCAGCGGCCCCTTGGATAACTCGGGTCCCCGAGAGCCCCGGTGGGTACGCCGCCCGCACCTCCCCCGGCCTGCCCACGCAAGGAGGTCAGAGGACGCTGCTCCTGCAGGACAGAACAACAGGGCGGGTTGCCAGGGCCCCCGGGTCGTCTCTGAACCTAACTCCTCAGTCAGTCTTTCGAGGGGGAGATAGGAGGCCCTGGGGAAAGAGAGTCGTTGAAGTCCTGAAGAAGTGCCTTCACGAGGTAGGGGGTGTGGAGCGAGTTTTCCTGAGGGGACGGCTTTCCATCTGCACCCCCTCCTTGCATCTCCCTAACCCCACTAACCGAGGCTTGTGTGGACACCGCCTGGGTAAAAGGTCCTGAAGCCCGACTCGAGGCTGTCCTGGCGTGCGCGCGTGTGAAAAGGCACTACCTTGGGCGCCCGTAGAGGCGAAGCAGTCAGGGAGAGGAATAGCCTTTTTGGCCGTTCCTTCTAGAACTTCAAGTGTCCTGGGGTCTCGGTCAACCCATGGGATAGGGGTCGATCTGGTGGCTGCACACACAACTACAGAATGGAATTGCGGGAGCCCCAGAGGGTACCCGGTCAACCTCTTTCTTGCCCCTCCCGTCCCCTTACCCCAGCCTCTCCAGACTTCTGGGCGAAGGCTGCACGAGTTCTCCTGGGGACTGCTTGGAACCTACGAGCGCGGGGTTGGGCTGGAAAACCTGGCGGGGGCAGAGGCTCCGGCGGCGAGGCGCTCGGGCAGCTAGGCCACAAGAGCTCACACGCCAGGAGTGCTTTGAGTCCTCTCCGGCTCTAGACGCAGGCTCGCGGGGACGCCGGCACCTGCTCCCCTCGAGCTTCTCATTGGCCCGCACGAGGCGGGGGAGGGGGCCCTGGCCTCTCGCTTTGATTTTAGACTGTGAAACGGCTCAGTGCCCCCGGCTCTGAGCGGATTGACTGTCTCTCGTACTCCAGGGACGAATTAATGGAGAACGATCAGTTAATTAACAAACCCTCATTCCGGCTTTTACCTTTTTCTTCTCCAGGACTCAGGCGAGGGCGCCGGGCTAGGATGGGGTGGGGAGCGGCAGCATGTACCCAAGAGTCAATCAACTCAGCCCCGGTCTCAGCAAACCGAGTCCACCCTCAGCTCCCCTCGGCTCTACCTCTCCGCTTGTCCTCTGCCCTAGGTGGTGGCTGAATCTGCTTGAAGCCCCCCGTGTGATTCAAGCTGACGTCTCTTGTCCCCTCCGCCAGTCGGCCGGCCAGAGCCTTCCCGGTATCCGTGGCCTAGAGAGGCTGGGGGAGCTGGGCGCTGTGTGTATGCAGCGCCACCGAGACCTTCCCGCCCAACTCAGAAACACTAATGCCTCGGGGTTTGGGGCCAGGAGCCCTCTGCTCGAAGACTTGGTTTTTTCCTCTCACACTCCCACCCCCTGCATGGGGATTCAGACGAAAATTCATGCGGAAGAATAAAACAAAATGAGACGTATTAAGCGAATCGGCAACGAAAGCGGTCTCTTGGCTCAGCTAGAAGCCCCCTTGTTCCTTGGCCGCCCTCACCTGGACCTTGGCACGGTCTGCCTCCGACTCAACAGTCGGTCACCCGCGCAAAGTGCGTGCTAAATCTTAGGAAGCATCTGCGCCACACACCCACCGCCGCGGTTCCATAACCTTTTGCTGGAACTCCCAGAGAGCGCTCCCCACTCCCCAGACCCCTGCCCTTCTCCGTGCCACTAGAGTGAGAGCCGGAGGGGGGAGTCAACGCAGCGAGTTTAGATAAACATTGGCAGGCAGCTCCTGCACGCTCCAGCGCAGCGCCCAGGTATGTGCCAGGGATACTGGTTGGCAGCATCTGCGCGCAGTTTCACGCACGTTTCGCCTGTCTCTCCCCAAACCCGAGTGCGGAAACCCAAAAGCGACGCACAAATCGTATCCATCCAGGTGTGGGGATTTCTCTCCTCCTATGGTTGTGCGAGCTTCCTGCGCTGTTTCCCAGCACAAATGCGCCCCCGCAATCACCCAGGCCGCTCCGCTCAGCTCCCGGTACCTTCCACAGCCCAATGCACTGAGTCCTGGAAGAGGCTGTCTGCTCCCGGGAGCCACGCTCTGGCTCTTCCAGGCCTAGGAACCCCAAACCCCCACCCCCACCCCCTCGGTGAAAGAAGGACGGGATGAAGCGTGCACAGAAGGCTGTCCTTCCCTTTCTCCTTGGGTCCCTTTAGCTTCCCCAATACCTTATCTGCTCTCGCGCCCAACAACTTGGCCGCTCACCTGCTAAGCGGAGCGCAGACATACGCTGGAATTCCGGCTCCTGCAGCCACTTCCACATTCTCCTGAAGGTCTCCCGGCCGGACTTGAGTTTGCTCCAGGGTTTGGGGTTGCGTAGCAGGTCCGAGAGGGTCCCTTGGGAACGGCAGAGCACCCTCTGCGCGAAGATGGCCTGTGGGATGCTGTAGCGCTTGAGCTCGGTGGTGATACGCTGCGCCACCTCTTTGGTATTGATCTCTTCCATCTGCCCTGAATTACTTCCATTGCTGACCTGCGCACCGGTTACCGAAGGGTTGGGCTCCCGGGCCGTGCCCAGGAGTTGCCCGTGGCCCTGGGCGTTCAGGTGGGCGTGGGGGTGGTGTGGAGGAAGGCCGTTGATGGGAACCATGCCTGCCGAAGTGGGCGTGAGGTGCTGCTCCCCGTGACGACCGAGCATGGCCGGGTGGTGGGCTTCGAAGCCGTTGGGGGTGAGCATCTTGTCGGTGGGCATGGCGGCACCCGGGTGGGCATAGTGTGGGAGCCCTTGCTGGGAGTTGTGGATGCCGCCCAGACCGGAGCCGGAGAGGGGCGAGAGGCTCTGGCCCATGCCTGCCACGTCCTTGTGGTAGGGGGTATAGAGGTTGTTCATGGAGGCCAGCCCGCGCTCGTCCCGCATGAGCGTGAAGCTGCCGCTCACGTTGCCCGCCAGGCGCTGGTGGTGGTGCGGGTGGTGGTGGTGGTGGTGGTGGTGGTGGTGGTGGGGGAACTTGTCGGAGACGGTGGAGATGGGCGGCAGCGGCTGCAGCGGGGTTAGCGTGGTGTAGGTGGTGGGCATGCTCATACCTGGGGGCGTCTCGCAGGCCATGGTCATGGTGGGGTGCAGGGGGCCGGCCAGGCTGTGCTCGGGGGCCCGGTGGTGGTGGTGGTAATCGCCGCTCCCGCTGCCGCCGTCCAGCAAGGACGCCATGCCCATGGAGCGCGGGTGCGCCGGGGGCAGGTGGCTGCCGCGGTGGGCCACCGTGCTTCGCGCGTGGGGGCTGCCGCCCAGCAAGTCGGCAGGGGCCGGCACCGGCTCATGGCTCACCCCGTGCAGTTCCCCGATTGCCTCCATGGTCAGCTGCGCGTTCATCGTGATCTGGGCGAGCGGGCGGCGGATACAACATCGATGAGGCCGGGCAGAGGCGGCGAAGGGCGCACGCAGTCCGGCTTTCACATCGGCTGCTGGCGACTGTTGCCTTCCTTCCTTCCTCTCTCTGTGGGGCTCTGTCTCCCTCTCAGAGTGTCTCGCCTTCCCTTTTGCCCCCACCTTCCCCTCTGCGTCCTCGGTTTTTTTTTTTTTTTAATATTAATTTCCAAAAAGGATCCGCGCCGTTGGGCGAGCGCGGTGCCCCCAGCCCTCCCGCCCCTGGCCCCCTCTCGCCCCTCTCCTTCTTAGAATTGTGAGGCCCCAGGCTCCCCTGACGCAGCCCGCGCGCCTTCCGCGGCTGCTGCCTGTCCGTGCCGCTGGCCAGCTCCAGCCATGGCTCGGTTACTGTTGCAGACTCTCTGGCCGCTGTTCCGCAGCCGCCGCCGCCGCCGCCGCCGCCACCGCCGCGGCCCACCCTCCCGCCAGCCTGGCGCAGCGCGCAGGCGCGCCAATCGGCCCCGCCCCCTCGGTCCCCGCTCTCTCGGTCGGTGACGTCCCCGTACAAATGAAGGTGGGGGGCCTCCACGCCTTACCAGCAGCGCCGGGTGGCAGGGGAGCGGCGGGCGCGTGCGAGTGTCTAACGTGGAGCGCGACCTGGGGTTGCTACCCGGCGCCGGGAAACTGGCGCCCCCCTTGGCTTCCTGGCTTGGGTGGGCTCTCCTCCCAGTCCCCGGCCGCACTTGCTGGGCTCGCATCCCCAGTGGCGCACGGTGCCTAAAGAGCCATCGCCCCTCTCTCCAGTTGCTGCCTCTGGGTGAAGGTTACCCAGGGAGCCTCAGCTGGTGTCATCACTTCTTCCACCCTGGCCTGTTTCCCGGGAGGGCCTCTAGGAGTCCACGCTCTCCCCAGCTTCAGGTGTTTGACCTTTTGCCGGGGAGGGGAGCAAATATTTTAAAGGCCTTGGTCAACCCAGTGGCTGTTCAGCCGACAACCTCTATGCTCCCTAACACTTTGCCCACCCTTCCTCTTCCATGCTCTGCGAAGAGGCGCGCTTAGTGCCAAGAGTCCCGGCCGGGCCATACCTCTCTGTCCTCCGCCGCCTGGGTCCTTCTCCGGTTCAGCTGATAATTAAGCGGTGCGCCACTTCGTGAATGATTCGGCGTGTGTGTGTGTGTGTGTGTGTGTGTGTGTGTGTGTGTGTGTGTGTGTGTGTTTTAAGTGCCCTGGGTGGGTTCCTATGTTAACTCGTGGGTTCTGATGGGGCCGCAGAGGTTCGTGCTGCTCCTGCGGCTTCTTCATGGCCCTCCTGGTAAAGCACCCAGAGGCCGCTGCTTGCGGAAGGACTGACGCCCGCAGGGTGGACCAGGCGCGCCGGTCTCTGCTTGGCCCGTAGGGACGCCCTCTTCCCGGCGTCCCTGCGAGAAGCCTCCAGATTTGAAAATCAATTCAGCTTCGGGAGTAATTGTTCGCTTTCCACAATCACGCTCCAATCCGGAATCGAACCTGGTCCTTGGGCCTGGTTGGGGACGCGTGGGGAAGCCCCCGGTATGGGCCGTATTCCGGCTGCCACATGCCGGCTTTCTTTCATTTACAAAAGAAAGAAAAAAAAGTCCGTAACAAAAGGCAGAGCGTGTCCGCTTAGGTGCTTTCATCCCTCAGAGAAAGGACAGATGTGCCCATTGTCAGGCCCTTGGCAGTTACGACCCGGTCAGTGCCGAGCCTCAGCCCCGGGCGAGTGGTGGTCACAATGGGGGAACACCTCCTCGGAGCCTGGGTGTCTATCTGGGCTGGGATATGAAATAAAGTGTTTGTGACCTGAGCAGAGCCAAACTCCAACTGTATGTTCTGATCAGAGCCCACCACGGGTGTCTCTCCTGGGATCGTTCCCAGACCCTAGGAAAGCTCAGGTTGGTGCGGTGGTAGTAGTGGTGGTGGCTGAGTCCCTTAGGCAAAAGCTTGGGCTGGCCTGTACTTGGGGAGAGGGAGGAGGTGGGGAGACTTCCCACCGGCTAAGGCATAAGCAGGCCAACCTCTTTGCCCAGGTCCCTACCACAGCCCAGGAAACATGAAGATCAAGGTAGGTCAAGACCAGTGGGTTCACTCTAGCTGACTTCTTTGAAAGCTGTCCTGTTCAGAGATGGATTAACCTGGTTGGTTTCATCACCACAGACACTCCTATTTTGTCCAAACAATGCCTATGGAGGTCCTAGAAATGGGGGTCCATCTCCCTGGACTTAGCATCAACTTGAACAATGAATATTTAGGATTTAAAATTTACCTCTGGAGGGTAAAAGGTCTTTGGGAAACATAGACTGACAAAAAGGAACTCAGAAAACAAAAATTAATTTTAAAATTACTCGTATCTACATCTGTCTATTTATACATACATACATACATACAAGCATAAAACATATTTTCTGCCTAGTGGATCACAATATGTTGGTGGTAAGCTGAATTCTTGGTTCCTTAATGTTTCTGATCTCGTTTCTTACAACACAGAGCATGTAGCTCTCATATGAGACCAAACAATGGGTTAACATAGAAGGCAGACTTTGAGCTAAACCATTTGCCTCCCCTTTGCATCCCCCTCTTCATTCTAATCCTCCTGAAGTGATTGATTTGCCCTTATGACAACTCTGTTCCCAAAAGGCAGTTTGTTAAAAGAAAGAAGTAAATACCACCAAATGCACAAATTGTTCATGGTTTTCTTTTTGTGTAACTAATTAGGGACTTGATCCTAGAACCTTTCCTCCTGTGAGGCTCCTGGTTGAACCTCTAGAGTCTACCTGAAGAGAGCTGGGATCAGGTGAGCTTAACTCTCCCTCTCCCCACCCTATGAAAGGGGGCCTGGTTCAGTGCTGTTCCTAAAGGAGGAGCCAAAGTAAAAATCTGGAGAAGTATTTATATGGTGGACCAAAGTGTGTACAGGACTTGCTTGGGGAGGAAATCTCCTTAATTTTTCTTGGTCATTTATGCCTTCTATTTAACCTTTGTTTTTCTGGAGTTGACTGAATTGCAGTGATTTCTCAGAAACATTTTATTCTTACTCAATGTCTTGGAAAACTTTCCTGTTATTAAGAATGTATGTTGGGCAGGATGGGTGCTCTTAGGCCTAGTTAGGGTGAATGCATATCTATGTGTGTGTGTGTGTGTGTGTGTGTGTGTGTGTGTGTACAGGGGGAAACCAGAGGACTGGGATAGCTTTTTGTCATTTTGTCCCTCTCTGCACCCATCAGGTGCACTATGGAGGATTAAAGAGCCCAAGGATGGGTCTCTTGAAATTACTTGATGGGTTTAATGTATGTGGTTACAGGATGTGTACAGTTCTATATAATAGCCAAGAAGCTTGAGGGGAGGGCTCATTGTTAGCTGGTTAGATTTTGAGTAGCTGCAGGGAACTTAAAAAAAAAATGTCAGTCACGACTCTGTTTCATACACGTATATATTTAAGAAAAAAGGAAACAAGACTATGGACTGGATGCTTGTTGCTGGCAATATTTTCAGTGTGGAAACAAAGATTTCAGACTACTTACTTTGTAGATGTTGGAGTGCTGCTTGGTGGTGGTCAGGCAGGTCCAGTCCTTCCTATGCTAGGTGGGCTAGAGCTTGCCCAGTGACCCCAGAAGGCTTAGAAAAGAGAATGAGAGTAAGGTCTTTCCTCCAAATGCTGGCTACACAAGGTTCTTTGAGAACCTTCTATCAATCTCAGAGTGCTTTAGTGTTCTTTGTGAGTAACAGAGATGTGGCATATGACTCAGTCCCAGTTTTCAGTACCCTTCCAAAGAACTGTTTCCAGCCCCTCTGAGTCATTAAATGTTTACTTCCTTGTTTGTAGACAGCACAAAGAGCAAACCTGAGTGTCGGGGTGGATTCCCTCACCCAGGGTTTCATGGCAAGGCTGGTTCCTTGACCAGGGCCTCGGAATGTAACTCACCAGCCTTTCTGATGCCTGTAGCAAGTGTAGAATTAAACTCTTGGTGAGGAACCATTTCTTTGGTGTCAGGTAGAGTTAGGCACCTGATAACTGTGGGTGAAGGATTTGGCCCTGGGTGCTTCTAGCCTGGGTGCTTCCTGTCTTCCTCCCACCTCTGCAGAATTTTTTTTTTATCCAGAAAATTGCTATTGGCTTAGAATAGGAAAAATTCAGAAGAGGGTGGCCTGTGATTCCCTATTGACCACTATTAAAAAAATTTAGTCAGTGGCTTCTCTCCACTTTATGAGGGCCAAGGAAATGCTAATCAATTATTTGAGCCCTCTTCATCAATCTTTGACCTTCATATACTTCTTATTCATCTGTTGTTAGTTTTTTCCTTTTTAATGTAAATTATGTTTTGCACACTATATATAGTGTGGGTTCACACTCTCCTTTGTGGCATTTCCTACCTCCACTTTCCAAATCCTAAAGAGAAGATGCTCTGGTGAAGAGCTCTTTGACAGCTCCTGCCAGCTCAGCAGACTCTGGGTTATAGGAGATGCTCAGGTGGTTCAACATTCTAGGACCTCAGATGGGTCTGGGAGCCTCTCCCCGTTCATTCTTGGGCAATTGGGCAACCAGATAAGCTAGAGGCGGCTTTTCCTGGACTTAAATTCATTCCAATGGCTGCCCATTTTGGCTAGGGCTTTTCAAGATCTCTGGCTAAGAGCCCTAAAGGGAGAGGGGCTTCCTGATGCCCTGGGGCTTGGGATGGGGTCCAAGGCTCCGGTGGAACATACTGTTTTCAAGACCCCGCTATGGATGCAGCCAGCTAGATTCCGGGGCAGGTGACCTTCTCTGGCGAGCCCTTCAGTGGATTTTCTTTCCTAGTCTTTGTATTGTTGAAGTATATTACAAAGGAGACCTATCTGGGCTGCGGGTGCAGTAGGGCAATGAATTTACCAGATTTGGGGCGGTGGTAAATGCTCTTCCAGTGCTTCCTTTCTGGGGCTCTATTCCAGGTTAGCCGGTGAGCCCCTGATGTAGAGAACGACAGGGCTGGAGACTGGGGAGGACAGGGGAAAGGGAG